CCCGAGCTGGGGGTTTTGGTTCAAGGCGAACCCGGACCCCCCGGCCCACGCGCGGTGTTAATGCACCCAACCACCGCGCTTCCCAGCTGGAAACTGGGACATTTCTTGTTCTCACCCCGTGATCTCTTACGGTCCTTTACAGCCCTTGGCGTCTAGGAAGAGTCTGAGCACATTTGTGGGGAGAAGGGACACATGAAAGGTGTGACTCTCCAGCCTGCGTGCCGCTCGGGGCGGGACAGCCGCTACGGGGCCGCTCCCTGAAGTGTTAGTGCGCCATGGAGGCTTCCCGATCGTGTCCTACCCTCCGGGAAATGTGCTGCAGAAGCAGCACGGACACCGGAATAGTGTGAACATCTCAGTGGTTAAGAGAAACTGAGTAAAGTTTAAAATTGGACTTGAGATTCTGGCAACGAAGAATAGTTCTGGAAGGTAATGAGAAAGCTTTTCAACCCGGATTTCTGGTTCCCGCGAGCTTGCCAGCTTCGTGCAGCCCCTGGTGTTGGTGCACCCCGCGCCCTGGCCGTCCTGAGAGCCAGGCCGGGGTCTTCTGGGGCCTCTTAGATGGTTCCTGGCATGTAGTCAGCAAATAAAATTCATCAGGGCCCAGCACACAAATGCATACAGGGCTGGGGAAAAGTAAGCTTACAGTTGTTCATACGGAAAATAATACAACGATTAATAAATAATACAAGAAAAAACTAGTGTACTCACAACTGTAAACCTACTTTGCCCCACACTGTATTTGAAAAGTACTTGTTTTCCATTTATGGTAGGTGAATAATAGCCAACACTTATATTGCGCTTCCTAAGTGGCAGGTTTTATCTTAAATCTCTGCATACATTAATTTTATCTTCACAGTACTGCATACTAGCAGGCCTGGCTTCCTGGTGTAGCCAGTGCAGGCTGTGGTTAGCATGGTCACCCAGGACTGCGCTCTGAGCAGTGCCCCGTGCTTGAAATTCTCCGTAATTATATCTCTGAGCTTGTGTTTCGTAAGTGAAGTCCAGTGGAATAAGGGAGCACGTGGGGAAGTGGGGCCTGGAGCTGGGCTCGTGTGTGTTCCACCTTCCACTGCCTCCTGGGGACAGGTCCTCAGCCTCCCGGGCCACTAAGGACTGCCCTGGGGCTTGTCTCTCCCTCCCTGGCTACTCCCTGACCACTGCGGGCCTGGGGTGGGGGTGAGGGGGCTGGAGGTCACACCTTCTGCGTCTCAGGGCAGGGCAGTCAGGCTGGCAGCACCACAGCACACTAGGCAGGCATCTGGGCAGGGGCCTCACACCACCCCAGCCAGATACAGACTGTACCCCTGCAGGAAGTGTGATGCCTTAGACCAGTGATGGCGAACCTATGACACGCGTGTCAGAGGTGACACGCGAACTCATTTTTGTGGTTGATTTTTCTTTGTTAAATGGCATTTAAATATATAAAATAAATATCAAAAATATAAGTCTTTGTTTTACTATGGTTGCAAATATCAAAAAATTTCTATATGTGACACGGCACCAGAGTTAAGTTAGGGTTTTTCAAAATGCTGACACGCCGAGCTCAAAGGTTTGCCATCACTGCCTTAGACCCTAAGAAGGGGAGATTGACTTCCTCCTCTCTGCCCTGTAGCCAGCCCCACATAATAGATACCATTATTCTCCCCATTTTTTAAAGAGACAAACTGAAAGAGAACTTGACCCGGTTGCTTAGACATGGCAGAGGCAGTACTGGAACCAAGACATCTACCTCTCGAGACCATGCTCTCAGTCAGAATACCTCAATGCCTCGGGGCTTCTAATTTTATAAGTAAACGAGTGGCCCAGTGCACGAATTCATGAACATTGAAAGGAAATTAATTAGAAGAAATATTTTAATATCGCTATTTGCCCTTTCTCTATGATACAAGTGTCAACCAAATTCACGATCAACAATGACAGATTGAAACACACACGTGTGATTGGTGCCAGCAAGAGCTTTATATGTATCACACATGCACGAGTCAACTTAGCCTTTTATATATGTAGAATAAACTTGCTTAATTAGACCTTATTTCTTTTTTAAAAATATATATTTTATTGATTTTTTAAAATATATTTTTATTGATTTCAGAGAGGAAGGGAGAGGGAGAGAGAGATGGAAACATCAGTGATGAGAGAGGATCATTGATTGACTGCCTCCTGCATGCCCCCCACTGGGGATTGAGCCTGCAACTCAGGCATGTGCCCTTGACTGGAATCAAACCCTGGACTTTTCAGTCCACAGGCCGACGCTCTATCCACTGAGCCAAACCGGCTAGGGCTATTTTATTGATTTTTTTTACAGAGAGGAAGGGAGAGGAATAGAGAGTTAGAAACATTGATGTGAGAGAAACATCCATCAGCTGCCTCCTGCACACCCCCTACTGGGGATGTGCTCGCAACCAAGGTACATGCCCTTGACTGGAATCGAACCTGGGACCCTTCAGTCCACAGGCCGACGTTCTATCCACTGAACCAAACCGGTTAGGGCTAGACCTGCTTTCCGATGTAGCTAAACTTTTTCCAGCCCAGTGAAGCACTCCAACTTCTCTTTCAGGTAATTGACAGCAACACAGCAGTAAATATCAACACAAAGCCGATTATTATTGTAGGTCACGCAAGCAGAACAATGGGAAAATATTTAACTGCAGTAGTGTTTGACTATATTCTGCACATTGAGAAAACCTGAAGTCATTTTCAAGGTCCACCATTTCTTACTTCTTTTCAGTCGGGTCAAGTTTCTAAGCTTTCTAAATCTCTGTTTTCTGGCTAATGAAAAGAAAATAGGATTCCACCGAGTCTCCTATCTATCTACTCCAGGACTTCTGTGAGGATCAAATGAGATGAGGCATGGGAAAACGCTTCACAGCATTTGGTTATAGTGTAAAGTGTTTCCACCTGTGTTCCTGGGCTGCAGAAACTCTAAGGAGACTAGTCGCTAGGGCGAGGAAGCAGGCATTGCTACGTGATGTCATTACCCAGAGCCCACAGCGACCATTTCCGGGCTGGGCTGGGCTGTGGGCTGCATTTTGCGCCATGGGGTCTTGGCAACGTTGGCTGCGATTTGGTGGGGTGTCACTCCGGGGTGGTGGTGGGGCCTGTGTCCCACTTAGGGGAAGCCGAGTGTTGGTTTGTGGTGCCGGCCAGTGCGTGTCATGGAAGCTCCTGCATTGAGCGTCTTCCCCCTGGTGGTCAGTGTGTGTCATAGTGAACGGTCGGACACTCAGTATATTAGCCTTAGTATATTAGCCTTTTATATATAGAGACTAGTGATCCGGTGCACGGATTCGTGCACATTGAAAGGAAATTAATTACAAGGTGGCCGGCAGGGTGGGACTGGGTGAGATGGGCCAGACATGCCCTGGAGCCAACCTCCCGCTGTCCCTCCTTGGCCAGCCGCACCTGGGGTGGAACTGTGTCTTGAAAGGCATCTGTGGAGTGAGCAGGAACCCTCTGGCAGGTGGGGTCCCTCAGCCTGGCCTGTGGGGATTGGGCTGAAACTGGCTCTCCGACATCCCCTGAGGGGTCCCAGAGTGCGAAAGGGCACTCTGCAAAGTTACTGTGGTACAGGGTGTGGAACGCAAATACAAGTGTGCAGTAAACCAGATTCGGCGCTGAGAGTGTCCCAGCAACAACATAACCCACGGCCAGAGTTGGAATCACGCGGTCCTGCAAGGAATCAGGTTCCCTCCTCTCTGGTTTCAGGGTGTGTCACCTGAGAACCGCTGCTGCCAAGTCACTGCAGCTCAGCAGCTCCTGTGTTAAGTGTCTGCCCCCTGGTGGTCAGTGCGTGTCATAACGACTGGTTGGACAGTTGGACACTTAGCATATTAGCCTTTTATATATATACTAGAGTCCCGGTGCACAAAAATTTGTGCACTCGGGGGGGGGGGTCCCTCAGCCTGGCCTGTGCCCTCTCGCAGTCTGGGACCCCTCGGAGGATGTCCACTTGCTGGCTTAGGCCCGCTCCTTGGGGGATCGGGGCCTAAGCTGGCAGTCAGACATCCCTCTGGCAGCCCAGGAGCCCTAGGGTGATGTCCTCTTGCCAGAGGGAACCAGGCCTAAGCTGCAGTCGGACATCCGTAGTGCTGCTGAGGAGGTGGGAGAGGCTCCCGCCATCACTGCTGTGCTGGCAGTCATCAGCCTGGCTTGTGGCTGAGCAGAGCTCCCCCTGTGGGAGCACACTGACTACCAGGGGGCAGCTCCTGCATTGAGTGTCTGCCCCCTGGTGGTCAGTGTGTGTCATAGTGACCAGTGATTCCCAGTTGCTCTGCTGTTAGGGTCAATTTGCATATTACCCTTTTATTATATGCCTGGTGCATGGGTGGGGGCTGGCTGGTTTGCCCTGAAGTGTGTCCCAGATCAGGGTGGGGGTCCCGCTGGGGTGCCTGGCCAGCCTGGGTGAGGGGCTGAGGGCCGTTTTCAGACTGGCCACATGCCCTTCAGGGTGGGGGGGTGTCCCTGCTGGAGTGCCTGGCCAGCCTGGGTGAGGGGCTGAGGGCCGTTTTCAGGTTGGCCACACCCCCTTCAGGGAGGGGGGTCCTGCTGGGGTGCCTGGCCAGCCTGGGTGAGGGGCTGATGGCTGTTTGCAGGCTGGTCAAGCCCCCCAGCAGGGACCCTCACCCCTTGAGGGTGTGGCCAGCCTGGGTGAGGGGCTGATGGCTGTTTTCAGGCTGCCAAGCCCCCCAGCGGTGGGGGTTCCTGCTGGGGTGCCTGGCCAGCAGCAGGTTTCTGGGATTTATTTAGCTTCTATAATTGAAACTTTGTTGCCTTTAGCTGAGGTCACATCCCGGGCAACCAAGCCTCCTGCTTGCTCCAGCTCCGTGACTGCCGACCGCCATCTTGTTTGGGTTAATTTGCATATAGTCACTCTGATTGGTTGGTGGTCGTGGCTTGGGGTGTGACGAAGGTACGGTCAATTTGCATGTTTCTCTTACTCTCTACCAGATGTTACAACACATTGGCAGCCCTTTGCGCTGTTTGTGGCTGCTGGTTTGTATTTTTTTCTGTCTTGAAGGTATAAAAGCATTTTTAAAATGTTTTTTAGGCAATTAGCAGGTTTTACATAAAAATTCAGGACCCCAGTTTCTGAAACCTCTACCGACAGCATTCTTCCAGCAAGAGGGTCTGAAGCTCAGCCCCTCTCTGCTGCTCTCATTTAGGTCAAGGCCCACCCCTCTGAAAGGGTCAAGGTTGAAATCCCTGATCAGACCACTTATTTAGCAATCCCATAAGTGTAGAATTTTGTGACATTCTGTATGTTGTGTTGAATTATTAATAATGAAGCTTAAAGATGTGAAAAGCATGGCCAGTGTCACAAACCTAGTAAAATTGAGAGATAGACCAGGTTGAGGATCCTCCCGCTTGAATTTTCCATAATTCTAAGTCGAGCATGAATGGGAATAGGTGACTCACCAACCAGGGGTGGATGAGTTGGCTGCAGTGCACTGCCCCATTCCCAGCAGCAGTGGTGGGAGCCGCTGCCACCCCCAGCTCTGACCACCTAAAACACTAGTCTCCACGTTTTTTGCTCACATGACCCCATAAAGCAGTGGTTCTCAACCTTCTGGCCCTTTAAATACAGTTCCTCATGTTGTGACCCAACATAAAATTATTTTCGTTGCTACTTCATAACTGTAATGTTGCTACTGTTATGAATCGTAATGTAAATATCTGATATGCAGGATGGTCTTAGGCGACCCCTGTGAAAGGGTCGTTTGACCGCCAAAGGGGTCGCGACCCACAGGTTGAGAACCGCTGCCCTAAAGAAATTTCAACTTTTTTTAAATTACTTTAGAGAGAGAGAAAGGGGGGACAGAGAGAGAGAGAGAGAGAGAGAGAGAGAGAGAGAGAGAGAGAGAAACATCAATTTGCTGTTCCACTTATTTATTTATTGGTTGTTTCTTGTATGTGCCCTGACCCAGGATTGAACCCACAACCTTGGTGTATCAGGATGATGCTGCAACCAACTGAGCTACCCAGTCAGAGCAAGAAACTCCAACTTTTAAAGTTGACATATAAAGTTCTTCATCATAATTTTAAAGTTTAGAATATATTTTCTGGCTCATTATAAATATTGACTTTTTGAAATAAAACTGTTACATCACTTTTAAGTGTGTCGAGTGATATGTAAATACCTTAATGATTTGATAAGCACTAGCATTCATCTTAAAAATAAACATGTTTTTTAATATTTAAAATTTTTATATTTTTCCCTTTTACCCCTTGAACTTGAATTCCCATTCCACTTCCATATGTTTTATAATTTTTTATTGGTCATCATATCATATATCTCAGCCAAAAATATATAAATAAAAATTTAGCCCTAGCCGGTTTGGCTCAATGGATAGAGCGTCGGCCTGCGGACTGAGGGGTTCCAGGTTCGATTCCGGTCAAGGGCATGTACCTTGGTTGCGGGCACATCCCCAGTAGGGGGTGTGCAAGAGGCAGCTGATCGATGTTTCTCACTCATCCGTATTTCTAACTCTCTATCCCTCTCCCTTCCTCTCTGTAAAAAATCAATAAAATATATTTAAAAAAAAAAAAAGATTCCCAGGCGATTCTAATGTGCAGCCAAGGTTGAGAACTGCTGCTTTAAAGTGAGGCTGCTAGAAAAAAAAAAAAAAATTAATAAACTTTTCTTGTGACTAAAGCTCTCTAAGTGTATAAAAAAAACCTTTTCTTTGGAATGTACCATTAAAAGTATTGGTGATGAATAAGTCGATAAAAGGAATTTAAATATAATTTTATAAATAATCATACATATATTTTTCATGGAATTGCCTCTCTTTTAAAAAACATACATTTTTATTGATTTCAGAGAGGAAGGGAGAGATAGAAACATCAATGATGAGAGAGAATCATTGATTGGCTGCCTCTTGCACACCCCCTTACTGGGAATGGAGCCCACAACCCAAACATGTATCCGGACTGGGAATTGAACCATGACCTCCTGGTTCATAGGTGAATGCTTAACAGCTGAGCCACACCAGGTGGGCAGGTGCAATTGCCTCTGTTAAAATGAGCTAAATGGTATTGATTTTTTCATTAGCATGTATCTGTAGATGAATATATATGATTTACTGATAAAATGTGATAGGACTCAGCATCAATTTTATTCCAAATTTTTGTTTTTATGGATGTAATCCCCAAGAAACCTGGTTCATATAAATAAGAATTATAGACAGTTTTGTTAGAGCAGTGTTGCTCAAGTCTTTGAACTTCTAAGTTATATGCTCCAAATCACATTGATCTACTGCCAATAATTTTTTTTCAAAGCAAATGAAAATCATCTGACTTGCAAGAGAGGATACAACTTGCAAGTGTTCCCCCCACCCCCTAGGCCAGGTTTCCTTAACTAAGTGCAATAAAGCAGAGAGGTTTTATAATTTTTATTTCCTTTGCCCATTATCCATTTCATTAAAGTTTCAAATGTATAAATATAATACATAGGATTCTCTCAGAATTTAAAAATAATTAAAGAAATATCTCAACCTCTGGGAAGTTTTCCAGCAAAGGCTTTACCAAGACTTATCTAATGATAATTATGCTTGTAATACTTTTATGTACTTAGTTATCTTGTTTAACCCAGAACGCTCAAAATGGTTGGGGACATCTAAATATTATTTCATTACACCTTTGCCAATACAATATTTTTTGACCAAAAGACTTATTTTACGTGTACTTCAAAGCCATTTTCATCAAAAACTTGGAGCTACAGTTTGGCTCATTTAATTTATGAAACATGTCCATTGAGTTAATGGCACATCTAGAGTGTTGAGGCTAGCAGAAAATAATTACATATAATTGGAGGGGGGTAGTTTTCTTAATTCAGGACACCCAGCAGAGGGCTAGAAGTGTTCCCCTCTCCCCCTAGACAGGTTTCGTTAACTAAGTACAATAAAGCAGTGAGGGATTGAAAGCTCTTCCTGTTGTTGGTGACATAATCATCACAGGCGGCTCCACCACCATGGGAGTGTGGGGCTGTCTGCACCCAGGCCAATGGGTCGAGAGGCTAGGGAGTGAACTGACATTCTTCTGTGGGATCGGAGAAGAAAAAGTGCCTGGGAAACAGGAGGTCTGTTCATGGGCTTCCTTATTTTTAAACCTCAAAACAAAGCGACAAGGTTAATGGCATTGAAGTGGAAAGACAGCTGAGTTTCAGGGTTTTGTTAACAAAACTCATAACGGTCCACTCATTGTGGACGAAAGGTGGGCAACGCTTTGAATGTGAGTCTAGAACCGAGTGGCAGGAGCAACTCGGATGGCACCTCACTCGGAGGAGCAGGCTCCAGCCCCCTCCAGGCCAAGGGGGCACCCACACCCCGACCCGGCCAAGGGGGCTCCCGCGCCCGACCGGGCGCCCCTGCGGGCTGTGGGCGTGGCCTCGCGGCTTCGCCCAATAGGCACGTCCGCGGGCGGAGCACGTTCCCAGCTTGGGGCGGGGCTTCCTGCGGTTTGCGCCTTTCGGGTGCGCGGAAAATAGGGCGCTGCGTGCGGAGAGGCCAAACTCAAACCAGCCCGGGGAGGCCGCTCCTCTGCAGGCTGACCCCGGGCCAGGCTGTGACCTCCAGGGGTCAGGTGACTGCGGACCGGTTATCCGCGCGTTTGCACCCCGCGCTGACCGCCTGCCTCCCACATTGTTGCCTCGGAGCACACGCAGTCCACGGACAGAGCTGTCCCTGCTTCTGCCCCACAGCTTCCAAGTGCCAGATGATGGAGGAGCGCGCCAACCTGATGCACATGATGAAGCTCAGCATCAAGGTCTTGCTGCAGTCCGCTCTGAGCCTGGGTCGCAGCCTGGATGCAGACCACGCCCCCCTGCAGCAGTTTTTCGTGGTGATGGAGCACTGCCTCAAACACGGGCTGAAAGGTGAGCCTGGGCGCCCGGGTCACAGCATGTGCTCATCAGTGCAGAACACAGTTCTGGTGCCAGGATAACAGTGTCAACAAGCACACCAGGGCCTGCCTGCAAGATGCGACTTCCCTGAGCAGTGCTGTCCGATAAAGAGTCATGCAAGCCAGATGTGCAATTTTTTTAAAAATATATTTTTATTGATTTCAGAGAGGAAGGGAGAGGGAGAGAGAGAGATAGAAACATCAATTATGAAAGGGAATCATTGATCGGCTGCTTCCTGCACGCCCCCCACTGGGGATCGGGCCTGTAACCCAGGCATATGCCTTTGACTGGAATTGAACCCCAGGACCCTTCAGTCTGCAGGCCGACGCTCTATCCACTGAGCCAAACCAGCTAGGGCCAATTTTTAATGTTCTAGTACACATTTTTTAAAATTAAAAGAAACAAGTAAAATTAGTTTTAATGATATATTTTATTGAACTGAATATATCCAAAATATCATTGTGATACATAATCAGTATTTAAAAGCCTTATTGATGAGATGTTTTGCCTTCTTTTTTGTACTTAGGCTTAAAAACCCGCTGTTTTACATTTATAGCGTGCCTCAATTGCACTAGCATTTGAACAAGCGTTCAGTAGCACATGTGGCTAGTGATAACCTTGGACAGCACAGTTCCAGACCAGGAGGTGGATGATAAACGCAGCAACAAACCAACATAATTATAAAATGCTACAAATTCAAGGAAGCAGAATGGGTTAAATGATAGAGAATCAAAGAGAAAACCTTTCAGCTGGTAAAAGGGGACAGTTTTTCTGGGGAGGTGTCTCCCAACTGAGACATACAGGACAGGGAGCAGTCAATCATGTAAAGATTAGGGGAAAGCAAAAATCAGAAACAAAAAACAGGGTAAGGGCCCTGCGTGGGACCACCCTTGGCTGGAGGAAGAGGTCAGGTAACTCTGGGTGCTGAGAGAGGGAAGGAGGACGGCTCGAACATGTAGGCCTTTACGGGTGAAGACCGGGGTTTATTCTAACCCCGGGGAAAACATGACCCGACTTCCACTCATAAAAGACCCCAGCAATGTGGAGTGTGGGTTGAAGGGTGACAATATTAGGAGCAGGGAGGCTCATTAGGAGGTTTTTGCAGCAGTTCAGGTGAGGAGGGTGGTGATGTCCATTCAAAATTAAGTATTGATTTTGGCATCAGGTAGGAAGGAGAAAGGGGAAGGATTTCACAAGGGATCACGTTTTATCTCATGGGCAGTAAACAACTCGGAGGAAGAGCATAGTAGGTACATCAGGGAATCCCTGTTTCCAGAGAAGGGAGAGCTCATTTGTTACTTGGCCTCGCCCAGTCCCCGAGGCTAAACCTGAAGGATTAAGCAGAAGGATTAAATGTGAAGCATTTATTTGGCTTTTGGAAGAGAGACCACGGACCCCTGAAGACATTTGCCACCTGTTCTTATGACTAACACTTTGTTTTCCCTTTTAGTTAAGAAGAGTTTTATTGGCCAAAATAAATCTTTCTTTGGTCCTTTGGAGCTGGTGGAGAAACTTTGTCCAGAAGCATCAGATATAGCCACTAGTGTCAGAAATCTGCCAGAATTAAAGTGAGTAAGAAGTCATTACACTGATTTGATATTTAGAAAAACTTACTCATTTCTCAATTCCTTGATGATAAAACATTTTCTGATTTAAAACGAAGTGCATGAGCCACATTCAGGGACAGTGTCTGGCTGGCATGGCTCAGTGGTTGAGTGTCGACCCATAAACCAGGAGGTCATGGTTGGATTTCCAATCAGGGCACAACCCAGATTGCAGGCTCGATGCCCCGGGGGCGGGGGGGGAGGCGGGGTGCAGGAGGCAGCCAATCAATCGATGATTCTCATTCATCATTGATGTTTCTCTCTCTCCCTCTTCCTTCCTCTCTCTGAAATCAATTTTAAAAAAAGAAAAGGAAGAAAATTTAAGTATTAAACTGTACATACTGTTCTGTGGGCTTTTTCCATTTCATATTAGATTTTAGACCTCTTTCCACGTCAGATACTCATCACTTTTGAAATGGGCATAGCTTTATGTCCTCTAGCTCATATGCTTAACGCCCCTTTGGGCTTCGTAGCTGTCTTCCAGTGCTCATTCTCCAAGTAGTGCAGTGGTGACCATCCCCAAACACCCCCTCGTACATTCTGGTCACTTCCTGAGGCTGTGTTCCTGGATATAGGCTTTGGGTAGCCAGCCATCACCAAGCTGCCTGCCGGAAGCGTTGTGACAATTACACCCCCACTGAGCAGCCTGTGTTAGTGTCCATTTTCCACAGCATCCCAACACTAAATACCTCTCCCCCCCACATTATTTTCTTTCCTTTTTACTCTGGTCCTTTTTCCCCCTCATCATTTACTTGTGGGGTGGTGGTGGTGGAGTTACGGGGGTGCTCAGAGCCTTTTGTATTGATGAAGTTAGGTGAGCCCTGAGGTCCCTGGGATGCACAGCCAGGCTGTGGCCCTAAGAGCGCGCTTGGGTGCAAACACTGATGATAGCAGTGCCTCTGTACTCCTGAGTCTGTCACAAATGCACTTACTCTGCTTAAAGAGAATCTTGTTTTCCTTAAACAGTGTGAGGTCTATAGCAGGGAGGCTTTTGTTCCTTTTTTAATGTTTAAAACAGGCCTTTCCAAGTTTGCATCTCTGAGGTTGGTTGCACAACAGTGTGAATGCACTTAGCATTACCAACCAATACACTTAAAAAGGTAAAGTTTATTTTATATGTTTTCTACCACAATTATTTTTTAAAATATATTTTTATTGATTTCAGAGAGGAAGGGAAAGGGAGAGAGAGATAGAAACATCAATGATGAGAGAGAATCATCAATTGGCTGCCTCACCCTAGCTAGTTTGAGACAACCAGCCTAGCCTAGGGGTCCTCTACGCCTAGCCTAGGCAACCCCTAGCCTAGCCTGAGGACTGAAGGGTTTGGGTTCAATTCTGGTCAAGGGCACATGCCCGGGTTGTGGGCTTGATCCCCAGTGGGGAGCATGCAGGAGGCAGCCGGTCAGTGATTGTCTCTCATCATTATTGTTTCTATCTCTCTCTCCCTCTCCCTTCCTCTCTGAAATCAATAAAAATATATTTTTAAAAAATTGGCTGCCTCCTGCATGCCCCACATGGGGATTGAGCCTACAGCCCAGGCATGTGCACTGACCAGGAATCGAACCGTAACCTCCTAGCTCATAGGTCAACGCTCAACCGTTGAGCCATGCTGGCCAGGCCAGAAATTATTTTTTAATTGCATCTTTGAGCTAATGCCTCAGAAACCTTGTGAGACTTCAACACTTTAACAAGCACTGACGATGTTGTGTATTAATCTTTGAAAGAATATCCATTCTACAAAGCTAATCTAATATTTCCTGGTTCCTGTGAAATTTTATCAATATACACAAAGTTTTATCTGATTATATTTGTTCCAGGAATCAAATTTTGTGGCTTAAGATTTTTTCCCTCTTTTGTCAAAATAAACACACATGCCCATGATACAAAATTCAAACAGTACCCAGAGGTATATAGTGCCTTCCCTGACACTGTGCTCCCTTGACCCCCAAAGCAGCTATTCTTACAGAGTTCTCTGTATTCACAAGCAGGAATGTGTGTATCTCTTGAGCTAATTTGTCTTTTTGTTTGTCTTTATTGTTATTATTGTATATAATAAAAGGCTAATATGCAAATCAACCAAACGGCAGAATGACCGGTTGCTATGATGTGCACTGACCACGAGGGGTCAGACGCTGAATGCAAGAGCTGCCCCTGGTGGTCAGTGCGCTCCCACAGGGGGAGCACTGCTCAACCAGAAGCCGGGTTCACAGCTGGTGGTGGCAGGAGCCTCTCCCGCCTCCATGGCAGCGCGAGGAGCTGGCCTAAGCTGTCAGTTGGCCATCCCCCGAGGGCTCCCGGACTGCGAGAGGGCACAGGCCGGGATGAGGGCCCCAATACCCCCACCTCCCCCCCCCCCAAGTGCATGAATTTCGTGCACTGGGCCTCTAGTTATGCCATAACAGTTTGATTCTCTGTTTGAATTCTAGGACAGCTGTGGGAAGAGGCAGAGCTTGGCTTTATCTTGCACTCATGCAAAAGAAACTGGCAGATTATCTGAAAGTGCTGATAGACAATAAACATCTCTTAAGGTAGGTCATCACCTATCTTTGCTTGTGTTGCTTAAATTAAAATAAGAGTCTATAATGTATAGAGCTTTTATTCAAATTATTATTAATCATAAATATTCTCTGACTTAGTTTTAAAATAGTTCTATTTTATTTTTTTGAGCACTGATATCTGAAAGTTGATATGAATGACTGAAGATTTATATTACTTTTCATTTTTAAAAGTCATTTTAAAGATAATTCTTCAAAAATACCTAAGATTAGGTAGTTGACAGTATACTCCATTAAATTTCAGCAAAATTGTATTTATTAGATTGGATAATAACAGGGAAAAATTACTTTAGAACTAAATGCTTTTTGTAATATCTTACCTATTTTAGGATTCCATATCCAATTTATAAAATTTTATCTTTTAGCATCAGTAAAGACTGACTGGCTATCTCTGAAATTTGGCTCATATATTTTTTTTAATATATTTTTTATTGATTTCAGAGAGGAAGGGAGAGGGAGAGAGAGATAGAAACATCAATGATGAGGCAGAATCATTGATTGACTGCCTTCTGCCCACTCCCTACTGGGGATCGAGCCCACAACCTGGATATGTGCCCTTGACTGGAATCGAACCTGGGACCCTTCAGTCTGCAGGCCGATGCTCTATCCACTGAGCCAAACCAAGTAGGGCTGACTGTTTCATATTTGATATTTATAACTATAAGCAAAAATAATCATTATGAAAATTTCCTCTAGAATATGAGAATTCATAAGGGAAGAATCTCTCTGGAGTTAATTCTCTTATCTAATTGAGATAAAAATATATTTTACAGTATGGCCTGCTACTCCAAATTTTTCATTGTTTTCAGGTCATGGGTTATTGTTGAATATTCTTTACATGATAAATACTGATTTCAAGTATGTCATGTCCTTTGTACTCTGAGCACAGTTACGCTGAGTAACTTTGAGTTACAGATTTTGGTCTAAAAAAACTGATTCTTAAGATAGTAAGTTCTCATACACATACACACACACACACACACACACACGATGGTAAATTAGCAGATCAATGGTGACCAGAAGCAGTCAGAGACAGGGGCTGAAGTCCCACTGCAAACAGCCGCGGTGGCTGCTGTCAGGAAGTAGGAGCAGCCAGTGTTGCTCCGTGGGACACGTGGGAGGGGGAAGAATTTTATTCTTGGGTGTGGGAGTTGTTCTCAGCAATATGGAAAAGGAGCCTGTAGGGGCAGAGGGGGCAGAGTGATGGTCAGGAATGTAGGAGCC